GTGAGTATCACGTCTCCGCTGTTCAGTTCTTTACCGCCTCTGCCTCCCCCTCTCTCTTTCAGATTGTGTCTGAAGAATCGAGCTTTAGCTCTGGGCCCCAGCTCTTCATCCACCAGTTCTCTAATATAATGTGTGGCTTGTCTATCACACGCTTCCTCACAGGCGCGTGTTTTGTTATCGTCCATTGTGAACTGTTATTATTTACCATTACTGCACATTGTGAGGTGTAGTGTGTCAGTGTTATACATGGTGTATTATGTCTAACATTGTGAGGTGTAGTGTGTCAGTGTTACACATAGTGTATTATGTCTAACATTGTGAGGTGTAGTGTGTCAGTGTTACACATAGTGTATTATGTCTAACATTGTGAGGTGTAGTGTGTCAGTGTTACACATAGTGTATTATGTCTAACATTGTGAGGTGTAGCGTGTCAGTGTTACACATAGTGTATTATGTCTAACATTGTGAGGTGTAGCGTGTCAGTGTTATACATAGTGTATTATGTCTAACATTGTGAGGTGTAGTGTGTCAGTGTTATACATAGTGTATTATGTCTAACATTGTGAGGTGTAGTGTGTCAGTGTTATACATGGTGTATTATGTCTAACATTGTGAGGTGTAGTGTGTCAGTGTTATACATGGTGTATTATGTCTAACATTGTGAGGTGTAGCGTGTGTGTTATACATGGTGTATTATGTCTAACATTGTGAGGTGTAGTGTGTCAGTGTTATACATGGTGTATTATGTCTAACATTGTGAGGTGTAGCGTGTGTGTTATACATAGTGTATTATGTCTAACATTGTGAGGTGTAGCGTGTGTGTTATACATGGTGTATTATGTCTAACATTGTGAGGTGTAGCGTGTGTGTTATACATAGTGTATTATGTCTAACATTGTGAGGTGTAGCGTGTCAGTGTTATACATAGTGTATTATGTCTAACATTGTGAGGTGTAGCGTGTGTGTTATACATAGTGTATTATGTCTAACATTGTGAGGTGTAGTGTGTCAGTGTTATACATGGTGTATTATGTCTAACATTGTGAGGTGTAGTGTGTCAGTGTTATACATGGTGTATTATGTCTAACATTGTGAGGTGTAGCGTGTCAGTGTTATACATAGTGTATTATGTCTAACATTGTGAGGTGTAGTGTGTCAGTGTTATACATGGTGTATTATGTCTAACATTGTGAGGTGTAGCGTGTCAGTGTTATACATAGTGTATTATGTCTAACATTGTGAGGTGTAGCGTGTGTGTTACACATGGTGTATTATGTCTAACATTGTGAGGTGTAGCGTGTGTGTTACACATGGTGTATTATGTCTAACATTGTGAGGTGTAGCGTGTGTGTTATAGTGTATTATGTCTAACATTGTGAGGTGTAGCGTGTGTGTTACACATAGTGTATTATGTCTTCTGGACTCATTTCGGCGTTTCCTTCTGTGTCCTCTTGTTCGTGTACTGCCCATACCGAATCTTTTATCCTTGTCTGTTCCGTCAATTCCCCGAGTATTTTGTATGTGGTAGTCATGTCTTCCCTCACGGGCTGTTCATGCGCGTGCCATCTCTTGGGTGGCTTTATCAATCAATGTCTTCCCTGTTCTTTCAGTGACGTGAGGTGTACTTAGTTTTACTAGTAACTCCTTAGGTGTACGTGTACAAGAGTGACGTCATCAGTAACACACTGCTGTAACATCACTGTTTTACTGCTACCATTATATTACCGCACGTGCTGGAATCTCCCTCCGTCTTGCTCCAACACTGCCACCAACACTGCCACCAACACTGCCACCAACACTGCCACCAACACTGCCGCCAACACTGCCGCCAACACTGCCACCAACACTGCCACCAACACTGCCACCAACACTGCCGCCAACACTGCCACCAACACTGCCACCAACACTGCCACCAACACTGCCGCCAACACTGCCACCAACACTGCCACCAACACTGCCGCCAACACTGCCACCAACACTGCCACCAACACTGCCACCAACACTGCCACCAACACTGCCACCAACACTGCCACCAACACTGCCACCAACACTGCCACCAACACTGCCGCCAACACTGCCACCAACACTGCCACCAACACTGCCACCAACACTGCCGCCAACACTGCCGCCAACACTGCCGCCAACACTGCCACCAACACTGCCACCAACACTGCCGCCAACACTGCCACCAACACTGCCACCAACACTGCCACCAACACTGCCGCCAACACTGCCGCCAACACTGCCACCAACACTGCCACCAACACTGCCGCCAACACTGCCACCAACACTGCCACCAACACTGCCACCAACACTGCCACCAACACTGCCACCAACACTGCCGCCAACACTGCCGCCAACACTGCCACCAACACTGCCGCCAACACTGCCACCAACACTGCCACCAACACTGCCGCCAACACTGCCGCCAACACTGCCACCAACACTGCCACCAACACTGCCACCAACACTGCCGCCAACACTGCCACCAACACTGCCACCAACACTGCCGCCAACACTGCCACCAACACTGCCACCAACACTGCCGCCAACACTGCCACCAACACTGCCACCAACACTGCCACCAACACTGCCGCCAACACTGCCGCCAACACTGCCACCAACACTGCCACCAACACTGCCACCAACACTGCCACCCACGCTCCGTCGGCACGCGGCTCATGTTTTAAACTTATTTATAAATAATTTGGCTCTATATTTACCCGTTGGCGAGCCTGGCCCCGGGAACTCTAGAAACCCTCTCCAGGTATATTCCAGATAATATAGGACACTCCAGCACGCACGAACACACACCCTGTATACCACTTAAGACAGACCAGTCTAGGAATATGCAGCTCCAGCCTGGAGTCCATACCTACTTAAACAAGACAAAGCTAGAGAAGATTCAGCGGTATGCCACCAGACTTGTCCCGGAACTGAGAGGTATGAGCTACGAGGAAAGGCTGCAGGAGCTGAACCTCACGTCCCTGTGTTACGGCCATTTGGGGCCCAGTAACTGGATTCTTGCTGTTACAATCTCCTCTTCTATATCCAACCCCAAGACGGAGGCAAGTTCTCAAAGAACTGGCTGTGGCAAGTAGTAGTGCAATGAAGAAAAGGGGGGGGAGGGGGGGTAAACAATACAATATTCCACCTTCACCAATATATTAACACCTTCACCAATATATTAACACCTTCACCAATATATTAACACCTTCACCACTATATATATTATATTAAAGTATTACTACATGTATTTACCAAGTGTCTCTTTCACGCAGGACACAATACAATGAGTGTTCATCATTCTCGGTGAATCCACTTTCCAGGTACACGTCGTCCACACTTAATGGCAAACACCGGCGAGTTCACCTTCAACACGGGCCAGTCCACACACACAGCGTATCTTCACGATGTGCCAATACCCCACCTTCACTCTCCAGATACACACTGGCAGAGGGTTTCAGCAATACGCTGACAGGGGTCCTCAAATAATCACATACAGGGGGTAGCTAGCACCCCTGGCAGAAGTCTCTAGCAGCTCACTAGCAACACTTCTCAACAGACGCACCACTGTCGTCGCGTAACTCTTCCTGGCCAATCCCGGGTATGTCGTCCCATCCAACACTGCTATAACCGACGGCGGCCACTTTGCCCTCTCACAGGACCAAGTCAAGAGTTCTTGGACTGCCCAAGGTGAACTGCCTTTCTCGGTGTAATCGCCTGCTTACGTCACCTCTGTGAACATAAAACGTCATTAATTAGATGAACAGTACACTGGGTGCCCTTAGGATAACACCAATCCATCGGGGAATTGACATTGTAAAGTGTAGCCACAACCTAGATGGCGTTGATCTCGTACGCCACCCACCAGAGGTCATCCTCATCGACCCTCCTCTTCTAGCTGAGGCAAGAAACTGGAGCCTTTCACTGATACCACGCCACCACCAACAGATGGCGTTGTCCACGTAGCACACAATACCAGGGAGCTGGAGTGCAAACCCATAGATTGTACTGAAATCGCCACTCCATACTCCAGCGACGGTGTCGATACCGTAACACCCTGGAAAACAGAAGAGTAAGGGGAGACATGATAACCACCTACAAAATTCTCAGGGAAATTGACAGGGTGGACAAGGACAAACTCTTCAGCACGGGTGGAACATGAACAAGGGGACACAGGTGGAAACTAAGTACCCAAATGAGCCACAGAGACATTAGAAAGATTTTTTTTCAGTGTCCGAGTAGTTAATAGGTGGAATGCATTAGGCAGTGATGTGGTGGAGGCTGACTCCATACACAGTTTCAAGTATAGATATGATAGAGCCCAGTAGGCTCATGAACCTGTACACCAGTTGATTGACAGTTGAGAGGCGGGACCAAAGAAACAGAGCTCAACCCCCGCAAGGACAACTAGGTGAGTACACACACACACACACACACACACACACTAACCAAAAGGTTAGCATACCGAAAGGGAAACTATGAGGAGATAAGAAAATTCCTAACAGAAATAGCATGGGAAACAGAGTTCAGGGGAAAGACGGCCCAAGATATGATGGACTACATCACGCAGAAGTGCAAGGACGTAGCAAACAAGTTTGTCCCAGTCCAAAAGGAAAACAGTGAAATGAAGATGAGAAACCCATGGTTTAATCAGAGATGTAGGTTAGCTAAGCAGCAAAGTAAAAGGGCATGGAGAAACTATAGGAATAACAGGACACTGGAGAGCAGAGAAAGATACCAGAATGCCAGGAATGAATATGTCAGGATGAGAAGAGAGGCAGAAAGACAATACGAAAATGACATCGCAAGCAAGGCAAAGACTCAGCCTAAATTGCTGCATAGCCACATCAGGAGAAAAACAACAGTAAAGGAACAGGTTATGAAATTAAGGATAGGGGCAGAAGGATTCACTACAAACGACAAGGAAGTGTGTGAGGAACTGAATAAGAAATTCCAGGTCTTCTCCTTAGAGCAAGGAGAAATTCCAGAGATAA